ACTACGCTGAGACAATGGGATAACCTGGTGAAGAAAAAGAAGGTGGAAATTCAAAGTAGGTTACCGTCAATAATTACTGACAAAAAGAGAGATGCAACGGGGTACCGATGGGAGAGGAAGAAAACAGAAGGAAGACAGGCATGGGATTTATGCATAGTTTTGGTGAAGTACTACCTTAGTTGTACAGTGCATAGAAATCAAGGAAAAGAAATCGTTCTTGGAAAAAAACGGTTTGGTGTTTTCCAGGAATTCCAGCGACCCTTGGAGCAATCTAGTCGTGTAGGATGGATTGACCAACGATCAAAGCAAGAACTTGTATAGAAATGACACAAAATCTCATGGAAACGTCCAGTAAGGCCCTCCACAGACTAGACATTTAGTTGTCGACAACTAAAAAAACCTTGTGTGTGACATGAGTAGTCGACAACTAAACGCTAAATTTTAGCTGTCGACAACTAAGCAGTTTCCCTTTTCGTAAAGTGAAACTGCATAGTTGTCGACAACTACGTTTTGACCGTTTTTCCCGTGTGTAAGAATCATTGGTTTAGTTGTCGACAACTTTCGAAACATGACACTCATTTGAGCACGCGAGTTATGTTTTGAGCATGCGTAGTGAACGTTATTTCCCAAGCAATCGCTGACCTGACTTAGTTATCGAAAACTAACTCTCCAATGGGTGGAATGCCCGCATCGGACAAAATTAGTTGTCGGTAATATTTAGTGGTCGACAACAAATTGTTGTCGAGAACGAGGTGTCTAGTCTGTGGACGCCCTATTTATTTCTACGGTTCAGTACGACTCAGGACAAAGATTGTCTCTGCTCAAACCTTGTAAGTTCTCATTTTAAGTTTCCTTTTTCTTGTTTCAGAGTTCTTTATCAGTAGCTGGTTCACCATACCGAACACTTGTTCCATGACAGCGTCCTGGCGTAAATCGTCTCTTCCCTACACGGGCACAAATTATGAGAGTTAGGTAAAACCTGCGAGTGTCAATGTCGATGTGGTCTTATACGGGTGGGGTGGGGAGGATCTACATAAAGGAAGGGCGCAATTAAGAGTTTTTCATCAGCTTAAAAGAGCTCAGTCACGGTGTTTTGCCTTTTTTTTTTTGGCCACGTACAAACTCTCCTTTAAATGGAAGGAAACCTGAAAATAATAGTCTACTAAGATAGAAAAGCATCAAAGCGATAATAATAAACCATAAAGGAACAAGGATGGCTAAGGATGGCGAAGATTGACACGGATTGCAAACGACGAATTTGAAAAATTTAGGCTAAACTTTTCAAAATGTGCCAACCCTGACTGAGCTCCTTTAAGTTATAATGAACCAAAAAAAAAACGAAGATGGATTAGACTGAAGTAAAAAAAAGGCTTTCTTTTACTAATTCGTTAGTGTTGTTCAACGCTAGTAAAGTACTACATTTTACACCATGCCATAGAAAATAAAGCCAATCAGAATACAGGAATGCAGTTGAAGGCCGTCGTATATTCGACAGTATTACATACAACCTTCCCATCATGCGCCGCGCGTATGTCGCATTGATTGTGTTGGCCACTGGATTTTCTATGGAATGGTACAAAATAGCTATACAACGCTCTCTCGTGATATACGTATACGTATAACATAGAATATCCCACATGACACTTGTATTTTCTTGGTATACACACTCGTTTAATAATAAAGGCTCGCCTGTACACTGAGAAAATACAACCCATGAGATATTCCATGGTATACCACTTGAAAGCGTTGCATAAGTAGTATGTAGTACTTTCATATTTCCATGCATTGAGATAATGATAGTCCGCATGAGGTCGCCGTACCTTCACCAGCTGCCGTCGTTTGATTCCATCAGATCC